AGATTCGCCTTTACAGCCTGCTTTTCAAGTAATCCAGCAGTTCAAGAGCCTGCCGGATTTCTTGATGTTTCCGGCCTTTTTGGCATTGAGGCACCAGGGTCATCCGGCCTTTATATCAATGTACGATCGACCTCTACCTGACATGGGGACCATCCATGCAATGACGACCTTGATCGATTTTGCAAACCAAGCATTGGAACAAAGTCGATCAACTTCCGACGCTCTGAAATATGCATGTCAAAACTGGGCCCTCCATCTCTCTCGAGTTCCAAATCCGTGGGACGAGAGGCTTACCCGTATACTCGAGTCTTTCTGGACTCGTAATCTCCTCTCCTGGCTTGAAAGGCAGTGGTGTTTGAAGGATCTGCGCTCTTGCATCACTATTTTATGCGAAGGGGAGAAACTTGCACTAAAATTTTTGTAGCCTGACGGCCTGAACTGCGCGTAAAGGACGTCTTCAAGCTGCAAGGTTATCTCCGTCACGAGTCTGAAGCACTCAATATTACCCGACATTCCTCATTATTTTGTCAATGCATGTTGATTTTTTTCACGCGTCTCGAGTGTTTACATATACCACCCATTCACCTCGATTATACATTTTCTCTCGTTCCAGCAGAGCCTACGCTTCCCTTTGATCAGACAAGATAAAGGCATTGTTTCAGTAGTAGAAGATGATTTGGATTCATAATTTGGTGACCTGGGTGCCACGCTGCAACCTCTATGTTAAAACCAGCCTTGATGAGTATAAAATTTTGCCACGTTTATTACCGAGTCCGGCCCTCCGAGTCATCGAGCTGAGAATGTAAAACTCCTCACTGCGACGGACGGCCAGTAATGAATACACTGTGCAGCTCCATGAATTATAACCTAGACATAGGAACAGGCTCGAGTTATGGGAACCTTGGTTAGATCATCTTGCCCTGAAGGACCTTACGTTGGCGCCTGCTAGTGCTGGTGAGAAGTACATTTCGCTCTGCATCTAGAATCGAGATTTCTATTATCTTGCATGCGCTCGTATGTCGCAGCCAGCCTCCGATAAGTTAACTTGAAACTTTATATATTTTCAAGTTGAACCCTCTTCGTCCAGCTGAGAACGGAAAATGCGTCACTTTCGAATGGTTATGTCAAGGAATGGAATGAGAATAATGTATCTCATCACTCCGATATTGACAGTCAGACTCCCCATGGGACGATGTGACTGCTCATTTAGCCTTGCCCAAAGTTCATTTCCTGTTCTTCAGTTTCCCTGCCATTCTGCGCTCCACCTTGGATAATACACATTGGGGTGTGCGTATTCGTCTTTTGAAGGAATGGGAGGTAACAGAGCAGTTGGTGGAAAAGAGCAAAAATCGTGTAGCATACACTGCAGGAGGTAAATATGTCGATACGTCAGATCGTTTAGGTAGGGGACGAACGCTTGCTTGTAGAGACGCCACGCGTGTTGGGAAGTTAGAGTATCGATGCCTTGATATATCTATTATCGTGGGTCTCGTGGTGTTAATATTCTGCACGGAACGATCAAGACACGTTACCTGAGCTCAGGGTGTACATGAGCGCTCTCGGAGTACGCGGGCCTCCCGTCGAGGTAACAGATGTAGAGTCATTCAGTCAGCACCGAACAGGTTGAATCATTAGTAAAAAGCGAATGCGATAAGGGAGAGAAGGAACTGCCAGTGAATGAAGCCAAAGAGGAGCCATCGTTGCCCAGGGTTTGCTCGCGACAGACACCAAAACTTCTTTTCTCAAGGCTTAAAATCAAAAACATTTGAACAGAGTGAGATTCGAACTCACGCCCCCGAAGAGACCAGATAACACTCGCTCATCAAATGAGCTGGTTTCTCTCCTTAGTCTGGCGCCTTGGACCGCTCGGCCATCTGTCCTGGACTCGAAACTCCCTACTATGAACTTTTCACTCCGTTACTAACCAAGGTCACGCCCAGAGAGCCTACATGCCGATTGAGCTTTGCAACCCTTTGGCGAGGAACTTGAATGCCCGGGATCATGGCGAGCGAGGAGAAGCATGCGTGCTTCGAAGACCAGATACTGCAATGAGATCGTGAAAGCACTTGCAAGTGCCAAGCTACTAGTTAGTTCACGCGCACGTTTCTCCTTTTTCTCTTCTTTAGTCTTGCGCTCGTCTATTTTGATAGGTATAGCTCAAGTGTTGTACTTACCATTCTCGCTAACGACGTCTGTTTTGATAGTCCGTTGTGGTTGTCGTTCCGTGTCTCGCCTCGGCTTTTCTCTCTCTGATACAAGCACGCATATGCGCATTGGGCCCATAATTCTACTTTCGTGAGTTCAATTGACAGTGTCGTATAACCAATCATTAACATATCGAGAGCATGTAGTAGTACCTGCCATGTATGATACACACGAGTAGAAAAAAAACGAGTAGAAAATCAAGGGATAAATGCTTGATAGCGAAAGTCATGCTAAAGGTACAACAGAGTCAGACGTTCTTCTACGTGGTCCCGGAGAGAATGAATCCTAACAACTTCCTTTGTCATCTCCTTCTTCCACTTTGTAGTTGCTGGTATATGAGTAGATGCATGTTTATTCGAGGACGACAGCAGGAACGCGGTAAATGGGCTTTCCCGCGACACGTTACATTGGCTTTCCGGCAACCTGTCGATGAACCCTCCTTCACCATCTACGGAATAGTCCAGGACACCTATTGCCCATGTCCTATCGTGAGGCTTTGGGCCAATGTGCCTCACCTTCGCCTTAAAGTGATCGTGCTTGAACGAAAGACATCTCGAGTCAGCTAACTCTTCACTGGTGTCTTCTACATCGACCTCCAGTAGGAGCACCCAAATTTCGAGTCCGTGATTGGTCAAGGCAAAGCGCCTATCTCCAAACTCGTAGCTTGCGGCCCGGTCAACTGAGTTGCGGAGTTTTTTGATACATCCTGCAGCATAGCAGCGCGGATCATCCGGGAGGGCCGCGTTATAGCGGGAACAACGACCGCTCCATAGAAACACGTCCCATTTGTCGTATCTCTTTATTACCTCCTCCATGAGACGGAAGAAGGCTCTGTTACCTTCGCCATATACAACCATAAGGCTGATATCGAATATTCCGATAAGGGAGTACGCCATGTCTTCGGTGCGAGATGTTCGCCTCCTGGATGCCCACAACATCTTTTCTGGCACTCGGTCGATGCCAGGTGTGAATGATTCGAGATCATCCATATGGACGTCCGTGAGCGTTGATATCTTTTCCATAATGACTTTGCTGTCTCTGTTGTTTCTGTCGTTCGTGGAGCCTTGGATGAGGGGCTTCCAGTTTGCTCCGTAGAATTTGATATGCAACGGAGCAATGAGTTCTTGAAGCGTCCATCCTCTTTCGAACCAAGTATCGACTGCCTTTTCACCACTTTTGCCCTTCTCTTGCAGTTGGAGAGCTGCGAGGTCTGCCGTTTCCGAAAGGAAAGCGGTGCATACATGGGAATTTCTGTACCAGCGAAACATGGAGCGGATGGATTCATCCAATTCTGAGCTGCTTCTTTTGTCTATGCAGCACGTATCGGACCAAGCGAATTCGCAGTTGTGAATATCCTTCGCTGTACGGCAAAAATTTTGGAGCTTCCTCCATCCTGGCCCGCGGCCAACAGGGACTTCCGTCGGTCCCTCTGGCACCTGGTGATACAGAGGCTCTTGATTTCCCGGTAACCATCTATGCGAGAGAATAACATATTTCAGTTCCTTCTTCACGCGCTCTCTGATGCGATCCTCCCTCTCCTCCCCGTCCACGTCCATCTTTTCAGCAAAATCTGCGTAAATGTTGTCGGGGACCCTTTTCTCTTTGAAGTGCGCCCTGACGAAATCCCTGTCCACGAGTTGAACCGTCATCCTCCCACTGTCTTTGGTGATATGAAGTAGACGAATGGGCATCTCATTGGTGATGTATTCATGGAATACTTCTTCCACGAGATTTTTGAGGGAGTCATGGCTGTCTGTTGCAGCACGAGAGGCGCTCATGGTAAGAACGTCGCCCAGTGGCTTGAAAGTCGTCTAGGAATATTAGAAGCAGCAAATGCCATATGCATAGTGATAAACTCACGATTGACGACTTCTGATAGCGGTGGTGACTGGTAGGCTCCCTAAATGTTCTGGAAGGAATACAGGAAGTTCTCCTCTTTTAAAGGCTGCTATGAACGAATAGACATGAGGACCTGCGGATCTATATTCAGCATATCATCACGTACATTGCCCTTCTTCTCTTGCGTCATTGATACAGCAATGTATTGCCTTCGTGAAACCCTAAGAAAACTGCACGAGTCTCCTGCACTGCATACGAGATATCGGAACATGCTGATGGTCGTTCGGGATCAAAGTTGACAGTCTGGAAGAGTTCCATTCGTCTTCTAGAACTGGATCACATGATGCAAAGATTACACACATACACTTTGTCTGCACGTGGGATAAACGGCTATGTTGGTTCGGATAGACGCGCGTGTAGAACCGCCGAACGCCCTTTCTTCGCACCATCCATTATCAGGCAAAAAGTAAGCGACCTCCCTTTTATTCCAGCCATTAGTCAATGCAACCCACGGATGCGAAGGCAGACCGCTGAGATGTTATCAACGTATGCTTGTGAACGTCGAGTCGTGCATGTCCGTGGGGGCTTGCGTTCAACAACATCTTTTCCTCGTCTGAGGATGCAGTCACTGGGCGCCGTTGCAGGAAGTCAAAACGTCATGCTGATTGATACGCCTACGAGACAAGGGAGATATAATAAATCTGCTGGTCCTCCCTATCACCTCGGCGCTGGATGTGAGCGGTTGATGTCAGTATTAAAGTCTGGGAAAAAGAACTGGGTAGGCAGTTGGCAATCGCCATACCTCTTGCTCACGATTCATCCCCTACTCTTCCACCCTTCGCCACTCCTCCCTTTATTGTCTCGTTTTGCACAAGCTCGTGCCCCAAAAGCATCCTCTGCCAAGCCCACAACTTGAAATGTGTTCTGTACATGCCAGAATAGCATGCCTAGTGTGACGTTATGTCTGGCGCGTCGTCCAATTGCATCCTATCTCTCGAGTCCTTTCAATTTGGTAAGACTGCCTCCTGCACCAGTTAAAACCACCTGTCAATATCATTCAGACCATCATGTTCCAAAAAGAACAACGTTTGTACATCCTCGTGCTTTGACATGTGGGTACTGAATAACACGCTCTACTACTTACGCGTTCTCCTTCAAGGAGCAGGGTATTCGGCAACAATTTGCCACTGACAAGTAGCGTACAGCATCCACTGTAGGAAGCCAATAGTCCGATTTAGGCGGGAATGGAATGAATACTTGCATATGTAGAAGCCACGGGTGTCGGGAAGCTGGAGTTTTATTTAGCTGAATGAGCCAGAGATGCTGTGTAGAAGGTTGCGTGTACTTTCCACAGTACGGCAAAGACACAGGACTGGTGAACAGTTTGACTACGTCCTTCAGAGAGAGCGTGTGTGACGTAAACCGAACTGGTCGATCTCGGAGCGGCACAGCATGAGTGGTGCCCCAGGGAAACATACACAGCTCAATTTTCAAGAAAGTGACTGGCAACGTCCCAAAATCTACGGTCTGGCTCTCACTGCAGGTCGCACTTCATATCTTCAAATCTGTCTCCAGGCTGTAAATGCAATATGAGGTTGTCCTATGGCGGGCCTGAAGTTGAACTATGTACCAACAATTTGCTCAACAACTCATTTTCAATTCTACGGTGAAGCACGCCGCACCAAGAAGTTCAAGTTCAGCTTAAGCGGCGAGCGCCTAAGTTCTGGCTGGTGATATGTGTTGGCGCTGGGCAAGCCCACAACCAGATAAGCGCCTTGTCGCCCTTCAGCTGCATTCCACCACCATCCACGTCATTCCATTCGATCTCAGGTAATTCTTGCACTTTTTAGTTTTTATCACTTTACAGTGAGTGACAGGGTTGATCGTTTCATTGCCTAATGCCTCATGATCATCACCGTTGGACAGACTTACTAGGCCAAACATCGTTTCACGACATCGCCTCAAAGGATACAAGTTACAGTTTCGCCTTCTATCCTTGGATCAGCGTCCTGGTAAGTCTCAACGTAATTTCCACTCCTGTGGTTCCTACTAACCTATCGCTGTCTTTACCCGACTAGTAAGACTTTATCTCACAATCTGTGTTACGATTGTCATCGTCCCTTTGCTGAGGAGTCATTGTGAGTATACCCATATCTCTTTCCATCTCTCTTTCTCTGACCTCATTACCAGATTTTGGATATGTCCGAAGGAACTTGGGAGAAGTTGGCCCAGGTCGCTGTCGAGGGTGCTGAACATGACTCTCGTGAACGCTTGCCCCATCCCCACTGCTTGGAAGGGACTCGGGTGAACCTCCTCAACTACATTTACGGAGTATTAGATGACAAATCTAATAATCGACTCATTTGGCTCCATGGCACAGCGGGCGTCGGGAAATCTGCTGTTGCGTTTACTGTAGCCGAAAGGATGAGAAGTCTGAAAGTAACAGTGGAGACGAATGTCGAGATGCGGCTCGCAGGAACATTCTTTTTCTCCCGCAAGCACACGAATCGTCGCACAACTGGTCGTCTGTTCGCGACGCTTGCCTACCAACTGGCAAGCAATTTCCCCAGCGTCAGGACGCACGTGAATAAAGCCATCTTCGAGAACCCTGCCCTTCTACAACCCAATGGGTCTCTTCGCAAACAGATGGAGGCATTGTTTTTACGACCTCTGCGGCAGCTCAAATCCAGATTGTGCGACTCTCTGCCTCTGGCATTCGTTATTGATGCCCTTGATGAATGTACAGAATACTTTGATCAGTCCACACCAGAATCCCTTGATCAATCCACAATCGAACCCTTCGATGAAAACAAATCCGAAATCGAGCTTGCTGAAC